ACACGTAAGTCCTTTGTGTCCCTAAGTCACGAGTCCATGAGTGGGAATAGCAGAAATGAGCCTTGGTCTTTGCCCGCGTGAAGCCTGTAGACTCCTCTGCTGCAAAGTCGGAGCCTTGCATCATTTGATGATCGGGATTGAGAAAGGGAATGGCCTAGCGCAGTTCTTTTTCGGGCTCGATGATCCATCCGAACAGCCAGATAGTAATATCGAGGCATGCTGCCTTGTCAGGCAAAGGAAACTCTTTCTCTCTGGGCGTATAGACTGGGTGCAGTGGCGTTGACATTTTCTGTTCCAATACCGGTGAGAGGCATGCAGGTTTCCGATGGGCCCGTTATTGAAATATGCAGCCCCAAAGCCTGAAATAGCCGTGCTGATTGATCAGCTTTTGGCGTTGAGTTTCTAGGATTTCAGCTAGGTGGCCAACATTCGTCAATAGGTACTTTCTCCAATGGCTTGTCAACCTTTTGAAGCGTCCCAGAGACGGTTAAAATCCTCAGACTCCACAACTTAAGCCCATAAACGAAGCTTGGTGTATCCTTAAAATACAATTCGAATAGGGAAAGTAATAGCGAATGTAGTACAACCATCAATTGCACTGTGCGAGACAAGGCTTGTTGAGGAGAATGCAACTTCTTATTGCTCTTTGGTTTCCGCATTAAGGTAGATTTTGTGCTCCATTTAACGCATAAGGGGAAATGCATTCCCTAGCTTGTTGACAATATCCAGGCCTCCAGCATGGAGAACGCTAAGTCTTACAGGGGGTCAAATTCTAATCGTTGTTAGCTTTCTTGAGATAACAGTCAAAGAACGTTCTCCAGGTCTTCTCTTGAGGCGGGGCTGTAGAGATATTGTGTTCAGCTAGCCACATGATACATTCTTCGCTCAAAATGAATCACGCTTACGTGGCCATTCGTGGCTGTTGTTAATGGGCAGCCATTTCTCAGAGCTTAGCCACTTTTGCTAGGAACGAATGGTGCCATAGGTGTGTGGTGCATTTGTCCAACTTGCGACAATGTACAAAGGACAGACAATCCGTTTGAGGGCCGCGCGATGTTGCTCTCAGTATGAGTTCTACTTAGGGTACTGATAGCACGTGGCTACCTTACTGTATGGTCCACTTACTTCCAGTCAGGCTGGCAACGTCACCAGCAACTCTTTTGTCAAGAGTTATGGAACGCAGAAATGGGCACATGGAGTGGGTTCAAAGTGGATTGAATCAACTCATCTAAGTCGAAGAAAAGAGAGCAGTCTGTATGCTGAGCGAATGTGAGGTTCACGCGGAGTAGCACGGGACAAAGCGATAGCATTCCTGTTTCGTGACATATTTGCCTATCACCGAGGATGATGCGAGATAATCATGTCAAATCGACTCAGGTGAACAAGAGAACAGAAAAGCGTGCAACTGGCGTCGAACTTAGCAAAGAGATGTTCCTAGGGCGGAAATGGCCTTCCTTAGTTTTTTCCCGCGTATTTCGCAGAGAATAGCTAGCTGTACATCATTTCTTTGATATATCAGCCCAAAGATTGGTTGACAGGTACTTTTGACCTGAGTTGCAAATTACGATTGAAGCCGTCAACCCTTGCACGGGCCCCTTGAGCAATTCAAAAGCCGCGCTTATGTTCGCGCCGCGGGAGAACCCTCCAAATAATCCCTCCTTGCGCGCAATCACGCTAGTCATCACATAGTCTTTTCCCTGAATAGGATGCACTGGTCGAGAAACAGGCTGATCAGCCAAGACGGCTGCTTCGTGAGGTTCGACAGTGAAGCATTGCTGGATGGGTTCAGTGCCCTGAGTCGTTTTGCCTCACAAGCAGATGCGCCTCCTAAGCCGACGTAATCAACGAACCCATCAAGATTGCCATTGCTCTGTCCCAAAGCTCCGTCCCAGTTCCGTTGTAATGGGTCTACCAATTTCCGTCGCGAGTGAACCACTTGTCGGCACGGAACGCCCTGAGCTTGATTTCGATCTGTCTTACCTTTTCTCCCACAGGTTGCAGATAAGGTCTCGAAACCTCTCTAGGTACCGAGTCTGGCATTTGGTAAATGAGCAAAACCTCAGCGCCCAGTGCGGCCATCTTGCGGCACGTCCAATAAAGTCCCTTGTGCATGGCAGCGACGAATCTGTAGCCTTTGTTGGCGCAAACAATCGAAAGCTCAGTGCCCGCGTTGCTACTCGTAAGCTCAGCAATTGGCTGGCCGAGCCTGAGTGTGCTCAACCTTTACGCTTCCTCTATGATGCCGAACGCGACACGGCCCTTTTCGAATCACCAGGATCCAGATAGCCAAGTTCAGCAAAAATCGTTCCATCGAGGCCGAGAGCAGACGCGATTCGATCTAGGCGCACGAGAGGTGTGCAGCCGAAAGCATCTGCCGCCGAATCAAGAATTGTCCGCAGTATAATTTATTGTCACGGTTAAGAGGAAATATTATAAACTGCTCTGGAAAAAATGAATTTAGCGAAATGTTCATAGACAAGACAACTGTTCTCTTGCAGAGCCATGATTAAAGCTGCTTTTTTAGTTATTCAAAGAGCCGCGTCCCGCCCAAGTTTGAGATTTCGGCGCCAGTCGAGCCGAAAAGTCCTTAACTTGATATGCTGGGGATCTGATAGTGACTTGAAGTTTCTTGATGAAAAACAAACAAATTTTCTCTGGTGAGCTTTTGCCCCGCGGGTCACTATCATGCCCACAGCCTACAGTAATTGAAGGATGTCAAGAAGCCCACTAACAATCGTCAGGCGATCTTAGCGCCCTGATGATATACGAGGCCCGTATGTCTGGTCTCAAGAAGGGCGCGCCCCACGGGGCTGGAAAAAGGGCGCGCCTTAATATATGCAAGCAGAGCACACTCGCCATCTCCCTAGGAAGGACTTTATATAAAGAAATATATACCAGTCAACTTGCATTAAAATTCTGTGGCCTGTTTTAATCGCTTGATCATTTCCTAAATATTGTTCATTACCTTTGCCCTGCATCTCTTCCTGCTCCTCTCTTTGCGCCCATTCCTGGTATCGAATCGTAGAATCATGGTCAAGCTCGAATTTTTCGCAGTGGATCATGTAAGTGTCTTTGTGTTTCCAATCGAAAGCAACGGCACTCATCGTTTATCTTAGTGGCTCGCGGAGCGATCAACGTCAACCCGCCACAACCTTGCTCATACCTCAGCGCATCCGGCATCTATCTCAGATCTTGAAGCTGTTCCCGGCCAAGAGAACTGCGACGACTTCCTCTCCTCTTTTAGATCTCAACCTCTTGATTATCCCGCAGATTTCTCCGGTCTCGCCTCCTTGCGATCCAAAATTGCAAACCTCTATTCAGAGGACTTGTCCTTTGAAAAAGTGTTGACCACTGCCAGCGGGTCACTTGCCAATTTCATTGTCTTCTATTCTTTGATTGGACCTGGAGATCATGTCATCGTACCTTCTCCTGGCTATCCTCAGCTTCAGGCTATTCCTGGGTCGTTGGGCGCAGAAGTAAGCTTCTGGAAGGCCGACCCCCAAAACGAGTGGAACTTCGACTTTGATGAGCTGGAAGGACTTATCAAATTAAATACCAAAATGATAGTCATCAAGTGAGTTCCCCTCAATTTAAGAGAGGCACAGAGTCGAGCTGATACTTGGTATTGCATCAAAGCAATCCTCTCAATCCTCTGGGCACAGTTCTATCTGAGGCGGCGCTGCTTAAAATCATCGACATAGCCCGAAAACACTCTATCATTGTCTTCAGCGACGAGATTTACCGGCCAATTTTTTACCCATCTTCTTTTAGCGAAAGTCGAACACCGCCTTCTATCATCTCCCTAGGCTATGAAAAAACCATAGCAACCAGTGCATTGTCAAAAAGCTATTCTCTTGCGGGAATTCGCATCGGCTGGCTTGCGTCGGCAAGCCAAGACATCATTGACCTTTGTGTTAACGCTCGTGCTTATTGCCTCATCGCCACAAGTCAATTAGACGAACATGTCGCAGATTTTGCGCTGGACTCAAAACGCTCTGCTTCTATCGTTCACCAGAATATTTCGCAAGCAAAGCGGAACAAACTCATCGTGCAGGCCTTTATTTACCATCATTCGGATGTGTGCAGTTGGGTGGCACCGGTAGGAGCGGCCTTGGGATTCATGAAGTTCACGCGAGGTGACAGACTTGTGGACGATTTGTCCTTGTGCAAAGTACTTCATGAGAAGGAAGGGGTCCTCTTGGTTCCAGGAACCTGCTTTGGGAAGGAATATGCAGGATGGATCCGCATTGGTCTTGGCATGCCATCTCAACGGCTTAAAGACGGCTTGGAGGTGGTCTCAAGGTTCATTTCGAATGGCTACAGCAACATACCCCTGGCTTCTATCGGATGAAGAGGGAAATTTCAACGGGTTTTGACCCGGATGAATGCCAAGCGAATGTATGTAATCTGGCTAGATCACAATATCCTGGTATTTTCCTTTGCATCGGTCGCAATGTCTTCACTTCTGAAGGAGGTTAGTATCAATCTATTGAACCTGAACACACGGCACAGGCAATGCCCAGTCGTATAGAGGAAGGATACGAATTTCTACACGAGGGACTGGCTCACTGTAGAGGATAGAAAAAAAAGATGCTGTTGACAGCTCTTGAAGAAGAGACACAATTAACCAGGATGGTTGGTATAATTAGTACGAAACGGCGAGCTTGTCCAATGCCCAATAGGTGGTGCGTTGAGCCCTGTTCACGGGTAATGAGCTGTTCTTAAAACGGGTGGGCCCGGGATAAGCCGCCCCTGCAGACTGCCAACCGGATATGATTCCAGAGCAGGCATCATTGCGCATGAGTCGATCAGGGGGAAGTGCAACGCTTCCTCTTTGGTTGCCGGCCAAACTTCTCACCTGCAAGGTCAATCCTTCAATTTTCTCCTATCAAGTAACGACAACCTCTCACGACGAAGTCAGTCGTGAGCTTGCTCGTGTCTTTGTCCGCTCGCGTCACTTACGCAAACCATTACTGCCCTCGGAGCGAGTATCGACAACGATGGCATGGCAACTTTGGGAGAAGTTTAAGGTCGACCATCCAGTCACGGCGGACCACATGTCTGAAGCATGCGCTGCCGTCCGTCCATACCTGCCTCCGGTCAACTTTATCACAGCCCACTACGCCTACTTCATATTCACTGGGCTTATCTTTGCCGGCATCTTTCACGGGCTTTCGCACTCGGCTGATAGCATTAGCTTTATTGACAGCCTTTTCCTCGTCATCTCTGCCTTTACCACATCCGGACTCAACACAGTGGACATCAGCAAACTCACTACCGCCCAGCAGGCTATCATTGCCTTAATGATGGTTCTTGGCAGTCCTGTATTCGTCTCCATTTTCACCATTTGGCTCCGTGCTCGCGTTTTTGAAAAGCGTTTCGAGGACATTGTCGAGGCCGAACGAAACAGGAGGATACCTAAGACTGGCGCCATAGTCGGCATGGCTGGAGCCATGATTGGCCTTCCTGTGATGTCATCCTTCAAGGGGTCCAAGCGGAAGCAAAAGAAGAGTAGACACGAGCGGCAGGCTGAGGCTGATGCCTTCCAGTTGACGGGATCGACATCCCAGGGCCACGGCCGGAGCCATAGCCAGACAAACCAGCAAGAGTCTGGACCATCCGGCATGCTGGAACGTATCGAAGAAGGCCAAAGGCTTGGCTTCTCCACTAGTTCCACCGAGCCGCTCTCGCCCAAGTCGAATACCGCTACGAGGAGGAGGCCTTTCAGTCGTGACGACAGTCGCCAGTCCGTTTCAGAAAGCTTCGATTTCAAGACTTTCATCCACGAGAACAAGGAGTCCGTCGGCAGGAACGGCCAGTTTTTCGACCTCACAGAAGAACAGCGCGAATACCTGGGTGGAGTCGAATATCGCGCCCTCAAGATTCTGTTTACCATTGTCTGCATCTACTTTATACTCTGGCAGATCCTTGGGGCCATCACGCTCGGCGCCTGGTCGTACGTGCACAGCCAAAGTATAACAGCCGTAAACGCTCAAAATTCCTGGTGGGCTGGCATTTTTTTAGCCGTCTCTTCATTCAATAATGCTGGAATGACGCTCCTCGACGCAGGCGTGACAGCCTTTGACAATGATGCCTTCGTCTTAACTATTGTAACCATCCTCTCTCTAGCCGGAAACGCTGCGTTTCCTGCGTTCCTCAGAGCCACTGTTTACTTCTGCAGTCTGGTCTTGAAAGTCTCTGTTGACAGCGACGAATACACCGTGTGGAAGGAAGCTTTTGACTTCATCCTGAAGTACCCTCGTCGTTTGTACATGATGATGTTTCCTTCCAAGGCCAATCTGGTGTTTGTCACAATGTTCAGCACCATTGCTGTTATGGACTGGGTCCTTCTATTGGTTCTCAGCATTGGCAACTCTGCTATCGAGGCATACCCAGTTGGAAAGCGAGTCGGGCTGGCCCTATTTCAGGCACTAAGTAAGTCATGAGGGCGATGCCATTCTATTCTAGAGATTGGCTGACTGTTTTGCCTATAGGCATTCCTTCCTCAGGCTTCGCAGTTGTTTCTGTGTCAAGCCTCTATTTCGACGTTCTTGTCCTATGGGTCATCGTAATGTATATTTCCGCGTACCCGGAGATCATCGTCATGCGAAACTCAAATGTTAGTGGCATTACTTCTTTAGTCTAGTCGAGACTTGCGCTCAAAACTAACTCAATTCAAGGTGTACGAAGAACGGTCACTGGGAATTTACACCACACAATCTGAAAAGTCCGAGGAGTTGAACTCAACTCCAGACGAGTCGGCAGAGGAGCTCCTGCCAACCTTTGGGCCCCTCCTATCTCGACCGACGTCTGGCCATACCCTTGGCCTAGAAAGATCAGCAGTCTCAGCACCAGGCGCGTCACAAGAAAAGTCGGGCATTTCTACGAAGCCAATTAAGAAAATAGCCGCCATCGGCAGGCGTGGCACCTCCTTCGTGGGCAAGCAGATCCAAAGTAGGATGAATAACTTCCAAGGTGTAGGCGTAACGGCGAGGCCCCGGCTGAAGCGGTCTGCTGCTATTAACTTCAACGACCCAAACGAGGCGTCAGGATCTACCTCGGCTTTCGAGGGCCACGTAAGCCTCGTGTCGCAGCACCTTCGAGGACAGCTGTCACACGATATCTGGGCCATTGCGTTTTCTCTATTCTTAATCACACTTATCGAGACGTCTCATTCAATTGCGGACCCAGGATCCTATAGCGTATTCAACTTCCTGTTCGAAATCGTGTCGGGATATACCAATATCGGACTGTCTATGGGACTGCCAAATTACTCATTCAGCTTCGTGGGCGGCTGGTACACAGGTTCAAAGCTGGTAATGATTATTATGATGATTCGTGGTAGGCATAGGGGCTTGCCGGTCGCACTAGACCATGCCGTCAAGCTGCCCGGCTGGGACAATGTTAGAAAACAGAATGAGGACGCTGAGATTAGACGAAGTTTAGGTAGGAGTCGGACTACATTAGATATCTAGATTACCCTTCATGAGGTAAGCTCTTATCTAATAAGTTATATAGAAAAATAATCGAAACTTCTCTATGGAGTACTAGTTGATAAAAAGTTTAGCTTGTATGTAAGAAGCTCATTGGGATTGAATATTTTCAATTCTTAAAATGTTGAATTTCAATTATTGGGTATTTATGTTGTTAATTATTTAGATTAATAACTGGACCCTTTTAATTCTATCATCCCGATTTACATTTTGATATATATTAAATAACTAAAATTCGTTTGAGTTTAAGGATTTTATAGAACGATGCTCCTCCAGATGATCCGACGAAGACGTCGCGTCGTGGTGTGGGCGCGGAGTAACAAATATAGATTCGTCCAAAATGCCAGCCACGGTCACTGTTGCGTCGTCGTGTGTAGACCGCGGATCCTGATGAGAGCGTGTGACGGTCCGCTGCACGCATGGCGTCATGCTAGCAGAGTCAAGACGAGCGTTATTCGAGCTGTTATTGACTAGGTTGTCGTTGATCTTTCAAAAGAAAGCCTTGACAGACGCCATTATACCAAACCACGGCCTGGCGTGGTCAGCAGCAGCTCTCTCAGCCTGGATGAGAGGCTGTTTTAAGTCGATGATAGTCGAGCTAGCGGAACGCAAGGGCGCTCTCCCAGCGTCCGGAAGTTCAGCTTCGGTGCCGGCATTATCATCTGTGATTTCGGTCTTGTACGCTAGCAGCGTTGAACGATCGGCTTCATCGTACTCGTCAGGAAGGTTTGTGACTCGACCACGATTCGTAGCAGGTCGCCTGCTGAAAGACATCGATTATGTTACTCTCTGCTGATAATGCGGTCGTGCGGCCCAGAGTTTGGATTTGAGAGTCGTGATGCCAACAACACATCGTAGGGCTTCAGGATAGCTTAGGGGCTGTGATTTGAGGTAAAGAAGTGGCGCACCGGATCGTCGAATTGAAAGGAAGATGCTTTGAACTCTATGGGCCAGACGTAGCCCGAGCTGACAATGGCCACGCAAAGTCTCTGTGGACAGCCAGTTGAGACTCCCTCCATCATCCACGGGCCACATTTGCGCGAAACCTGAACTGACTCCGACTGCACAGACCAATCAGCCGACCAACGAATCAGTCTAGACCTTCCAATGCATTTATTGCTCCTAGAGCGAACCTAGATACATATTGAGCAGTAGTTAGGCAGGCAGGGGTCATTGGATGTATATTGACGACTATCATGAATGAATGAATGGTCATTGAAAGAATTTTAATAATGAGCGGATGATCCCCTTATATCAGGATCCTCTCGCTAGCCTGATTTATACCTCTAGTGAAGCATTAGTCATAGTGAAGCATTGGTCAAGCAGCTCGCGGTCACACAGGTTTCCATGAGCACGTCTCGTGGGAATGGTTTCAACAGTGCTTGCTTCTGTTAAGAATGGCAGCTGCGACTTAGAATTCGACGGGAAGCACAATGCCAAGTCCTGACGTGAGGGGTTGGCGCACGAGTAAGCAAGCTCGCGATGAATCCCCCTTAGTGCCATTATCCTCGTGAGAGCGGCACAGACCGTATTAAGATGGGGACAACATTCTGAGCTAGGCATTTCATCTCGGGTAGACTGAGAATAGCCACAGACATGCCTTTACCGTGTTCTCTGCCGAGAAGATGAGGCCAACGGCTCTCTGGGCATTCTTAGAGATCCTTATCCCCGCGACACGTTTGCCGCATCCGGATACACGAGGCGAGATCAATTATGCAGCTGGTCTTCACCGGGCGACTGAGAATCGAATGTACTCTGTCCTGCATGGGCAAGCTCGTCATCTAGTCGAGATCGGCAATAATATCATTTTTCTCCTTATGAATGGTTGGCATGTCACCGAGTTTGTCATGTTGTAGTACTCATCGCACGGTTCACAACAGGCAAGATGGGTGGGTGTGTCAAGAATAGGTTGTACCTCAAGTCACAAAACCCTACGGACTCAGGTCCTAGGTTACACAAATCGAAGTTCGGTTTTCGAACAAGTGACAACCTGCATACTGCATAATGTCTGTGTCACTCATTCGCTGGTCCGAAACTAAATATTTGCGATGGCATTTTCAAACGGATCTGGGGCGACACCCTGTGGAACCGACTCTAGTATTAGTAGACTATCTTAGCCATCGCGGACTCTGGCACGTTCTCTTACTATTGTTGAGAATTTTTCAGTGTACGTGAGATATACACTTATAAAAGAGGCAATAATGTAATACAAAAGACTACCCGTAATAAAGCTTTTCTCTCTTACTAGTTAAATATCTAATACGTCGAGAGATATATTAATATATATATCGAGCCCTCGCTACTTTTTAGATTAATTCTATAAGTACTATAAAAGCCTAGGTTATATAATTAAATAACTAAAAAGGTTTATTAGTATTACGTATTTATATTACTAAGATAAGTCCTATATAACCCTTTTTTCGTAACTATATTTTTATTTAACTTATATAACTAGTATAGTTAACTTAGTTAGTAAAGGTTATTTATTAGTATTTTTTAATTACTTATATATATTTATTAAAACTTAATATTAAGCTTATTATAATATATTTAAGTATAAAGAATTTTACTTACGTATTACTTTTAACTATAGGCTTATTAATAAGCTAGTAACGGCCGCTTATTGTTTATTTAATTAAGAAATATAGGGCGTAACTAGTTAACCCTTATTTAGTTTACTTATTATATTATTTATTCTTATACGAGGCGATAATATAATATAAAAGACTACCTATAATAAAGCCTTTTTCCCTTACTAATTAAATATTTAATATATTAAGAGATATATTAATATATATATCGAGCCCTCGCTACTTTTTATATTAATTCTATAAGTATTATAAAAGCCTAAGCTACGTAATTAAATAACTAAAGAAGTTTATTAATATTACGTATTTATATTACTAAGATAAGTTCTATATAACCCTCTTTTTATTATTATATTTTTATTTAACTTATATAATTAAAGTAATTAACTTAGTTAATAAAGGTTATTTATTAGTATTTTTTAATTACTTATATACGTTTATTAAAACCTAGTATTAAGCTTGTTATAATCTATTTAAATATAAAAAATCTTATTTACGTATTACTTTTAACTATGGGCTTATTAATAGGCTAGTGACGGCCGCTTGTCGTTTGTTTGATCGAAAGATATAGGGCGTAACTAGCTAACCCCTGTCTGGTCTGCCCACTACATCACTCATTCCCACACGATGCAACCGGCTGCGAAAATCGGGCTAATGCGCCTACTTCGATTCTTCAGAGCATGGAGGTCCAGGGGACAGGATACGACAATTTGAAGTAGAAACCCTGGCTTTGGGCTGTTGTCAATGGTCCATTGCGGCTCGTTGTAAAAGAAGTCGTGGTTCATATATGGAAGAGTGGGGGTTCGGATGAAAGTCGTGGCCGGTCGCTGCGGGGAAGCGAGTGTTAGTTTGGAGTTGACGGCAGCCTAGAGATGGTGGCAGAGCATGATTCAACGTTAATGTGGAGAATGTTGACTTTATCGATGCCTGTATTCGCAAGGGTAGGTAAACGGCACTTTTTCTACGGCTACTCTTTGAACGCACGCCCGCACAGCTTCTCGATCGGGCCCGGAATAGGTACAGAAACACCTCAAGACGGGTCCTGGCATAGTTTGCCGGACAACATCTTACGTCCATGACAGACCGAGGGCAGGTGGTTGCACGCTTTTGCTGGCACGAAACACTGAAGGGATGGAGCAGAGAAACGGATCTGGGAAGAGGTGTGGACCGCGGGAGATGGACCGAAGCGACAAAATTGACCAACAATGGGGGAGTGGAGGAGATAGATGGACTGTCAAGTCATGGCAGAGCGCGCTCAATGCCCGCCGCCTGCGGTCGTCGTCCCCTCAACATGCCTGAACTCGGAGGACCGGCGCAGGGGTGGAGCAGATACGGATGTAAGCCAGTCCCGTTCCGGACAAGGGTCAATACAGGGCACTCTACTTTTGATGGCAATGTTTCAACTCCAGGCCGCCATATGTCTAAGCCGGTGTGAGGGAGTGATGTCTCATAATGACTGCCATGAAAATGTGACACGTAATGAATTGACGACTGAATGAAGAAAGCATCCCCGTCTAGATCACCTCTGCCTGCTTACGGCGGCTATTCCAAATTTAGAGTTAGTTCGCGGAACCAAGAGATTGTTAATGAAGGACCATCTGAGACATATACTGCTGAGGGAGGGAAGGGGCGAGGAAGCTCGCGGAATCCCCCCAGCAAGTCTTTTCAATTGGTCAAAAGACCCGACGGTGTTTTGAGACGATGAGGTGCTCCGCCACCGTGGCATACTGCCGCAGAGCCAACCACCTTGAATTAGGATGAATAGACTTCGGATTGATCAGACCCAGAGATAGCACGACTGCTCCCGTGCTTCCCATGATACAGATGCCATTCTATTTAAACCCAATCACCCGATGCATGGATAATGTCGATACGAAAGTAGGCTTATCAGAGCCCGCCGAGGAAGATATTGCTATGTCCAGCAAATTGCCATTGGACCCACTGGATGCAGTGCCATCAGACGGTTGCTTAATGGGAGGACTGCTTCCTAGAGCCTGGCTCTTCATGACCTGCGGGGCTGCGGGACAATGTCCCCCCGCACCAGCGGTAGGGATGGCACAGTTCGGCCTGGAGTTTTCCAGAAAAGAAAAATCGTCTGCTGTGGTAGCAGAACAGTCTTTTTTATGGCGGAGAATGCGATGGATACATCGCACATCTTTAGATATGGATGGACGTGAGGCGTCACAGCAAGTGCGAAAGGCAGAAGCAGCAAGAAAGAGGTCCTCTTCATGTAAGGGCCAAGTTGCGGGTGGGACGTGATAGCGCCAAAAGGTTAGTTGGAGGCGATCATGATTCCTGATGTTACTCTAGAGAGCGACTTTCTGAGAGTGGAGCGCATGAAACTATTATTATGAACTGAAGATTATCTTATATTTACTAACTTTTTGTAGGAATTTGGGGTATGCGCAAGCGAATGGCCTGAATCACTCTTGCAGTCAAGTCCAGTCAAGAAGAACGGCGCCCGGCCCCTGATCGGCCTAGCTTATTCTGCCTAGATCTTCTTAGCGTTGTGCTGAACCACATGCAGGCAATGTTCAGGTGAAGAAATGGGCCTTTCAGGGACGGGTTTCGGCTTCAGTATTATCATCCCCGCTATCTTCGGGAGTCAGCAGGCCTGCTTTTGGGAATCAGCAACCTTTACCCCGGTATGATTTTTGATATCCTCGGGGGCTTGGATGTAATGGCTCTGTCATGAGGGCAAGCATGTTTGCAGACAGAGAAGCGACGGATCAGTCGAGCGGGTCATCACCTCGCATATGCTTGTTCTCTGCCTTGGGACCTGACTACTGATAGGACTGATAGAACATGCCGAGAGGGCAGCCTCAAGCAGCGGTCATCTTGATCTAGCTCTCCTTCTTCAAGACTTTGGTAAGGTTGACTGATTCAATCTGAGCTGAAAGAGGATGCAAACAGAAGTTTGGATTCAAACAGACTTCAGATCATTGAAGTATAAATTTTGGTATAGGGGTGTAAATGCTTGGTGAACAGCCTAAAGAGACCCAAACTTTTGTCTTTTTCATCCATTTTCCATCACTATTACCCTAGCACTTCAGCACACTGACTTGCCGCCGTGATGTCGTCGCATATCCACTTAGATGGAATCCCCCCACCGGCTGCTTTTGTGAAACATTCATGAGCGGTAAGCACTGAAAACATCTCGGCGCGGGGTGCAACTGTAGTAATAGACTGACAAGAAGGAACTTTGGATCTTAGACCAGATTTTGTCGCGCCATAGTGGCGGAGAAAACACAATTTCTACTCATCCATTGAACAGATCTGCTGCTTCGGAGTTGATCATGGATCTGCGTGGTGTCGATAGTGAGAGCTACCGACGACTCAGCAAGCCGAGTAAGGAATCGAGGAGAAGCCGCGTTTGTGTTCGAATGCCCATGACGCCATGTAACCATTTCAAACCTGTAAGCGGACATTCCTCAGGACTTCGGATACGAACAAGGGCTCGAATTCCCACAAAACCAATCCTTAGAACCCTCACATCTTACCGGCCTTCCATTCCCAAGTCTCATCTTAGATCTCGGAGCTACGCATCCTTCAACGCACCCAGCTTCGTCCCCCGAAGAACCAAGCAACACCAAGATGAGGCGCAATTCGCTTCTGACTACAATCTTGAGCACTATGTCCAGTCTCCCATGGCCTGGACTGGCAAGCGTGGGTTGTCCCACCACTGGACCAGAGGCTGTTCCAACCACTATTCAGCCCATCGAAATCGTTCACTATATACCGCTCTATCTCAGCACTTCTCTTACTTCAACGACGGTCTTCAGCGTGGCTGGTACAACTTTCGAGGTCACCAATGCTCCGACTGTGGTCGAGTCTAACTTCCTCACCGCGACTACTGTAACGTACAGCTCTGCTGTGTAAGTGGTCTAATCAAAATCTAATACCGATGGTTATCCCCTTCTGTAATCAGAATGGTGCTGATGCTTTGTCATTCAGCAATACCGAGTCCCCTTACAACGGGCCCTGTATTACGGTCACTGCGAATATTCTTGCGGGATCTCAGCCAACAACTATTATTATCCCTCCGCAAAGTGGCCAAGCCACTGGTACAAAGTACGTCTGCTCTCCTCTCGAGTCCAGTAAGACTTGGCTACCAGGGTCGAACTCTCAGAATAGTGGAAGCTTCACAACAGCCAGAGCCCCCTATCCAGGGTCAACCTTGACGACTTTGACCGTCTCCCCAGGTGGCAGCGACCGCACCGGAACGGCCCTTATCCTCACGCCTACGCCAAAGACAAGAAGGCTTCCTTTTAAAGGACCCTACACGACGATCACAGCTCCCGGGACGTTTTCGTCGACCCTGACTTTGCCGCCCTTCGAGACTGATGGCATTGGCACCCTGATCGTCTTCGTGCCGCCGCGAACGGGAGGCTCGGTAGCCGCTACATCAACTGGAACTCAGCTCGGCCAGACGGGTCTGTCGACCTTAACGACAGGCCGACCCGGCGATCCGGATACTGTAGTCACTATCGTGCCCCCTCCGGGAGGATTCACGACTGTTACGTCGACCGGTACGAGTACAGGCCTCCTTATTCGCACTCCTGGTCGTCCCGGAGATCCGACTACAGTCATTATCATCGTCCCAACACCCATCGGTCGTGGCAATATCACTACCAGTCTGACAACCTTGTCCCCTGGAATAGCCGGAGATCCGACAATAGATCTCACTTCCGTCGCCGGCGTTTCGTTTGTAACCGTCACATCGACAGGAGTCTCAACCGGCCTGATCACTCAGACTCCTAGTAGACTAGAAGGCCCGACTACGATTGTCACGATTACGACTGGCTCGCCGTCCATGGGCAGCACCAACGGATTGACTACGATTGCTGGAAGCCCAGAAGGACCATCAACTGTAGTTACTTTAGTGACAGGCATTCTTACAACAATCAACCCCATTCCTACATCGTCTTCGACCATATCGCCACCATCCAGCAACTCGCTACCCGGTATTTCAGTGACTGGCCCTCCGCCACAATCACAAGTGACTGTGATCACTTCGACAGCTAGCACGACCGGTTTGATCACTGTTCCGCCAGGACCCGGTGGTGGCCCTACTACGGTCATCACATTTGTTCCGCGTTTAGGTTTCATCACCACGCTTAATTCGACAGCCACACAGACTGGAGTCACTACTATTGTTCCCACGGAACCTGCTGGGACCACAAGCGTCATTACCTTCGTGCCTCCGGTCAAGGGCACGCTAACAACTGTCGTCTCAATCGGCACACAAACGGGCGTGACGACCTCGCCCCGGACCGACCCCTTCGGCACGACCACTGTCCTGTCAATCGTGCCTCCCGTCACGGGTGCTCTGACGACTGTGACGTCGACCGGCACTCAGACGGGAGCTTCTACAATCATGCCAACAGGTCTTGCTGGAACCACCAGCTTCATCACTTTAGTGACACCAAGCACTACAACTTCGTCTGCATCATCGACTTCTTCCACCACCCTTGTCTCTACGAAAACTGACACTTCCACTTCGACAACATCCACAATCTCGTGTGTAGTCTCCCTGACGAGCACAGTCTCCGCAGGCAGTCCTTCAGGTGCGATAGGCGCAGTCACTGTCCCGACTTGCGCTACTGTTATGCGATTCATTGTTACGGGTGGTGGCGGCGGCGGTGGAGGCGGTCTCACAGGCGGCAAAGGTGCATCAATCAGCGGCTCCATACCCGTCACCCCAGGTCAATCAGTTTCTTTAGTCGCCGGTGGTCAAGGTGGCCAAGGTACGAGAGGTGCTGTCGGAGGGGCTGGTCTCAGTCAGTACGGCAACGGTGGATCTGCTTCCAATAACGGTGGTGGAGGTGGTGGTGCTTCCGCTCTTTATCTCGGCCAGGATCTCCTTGTGGTCGCTGGCGGAGGCGGAGGCAGCACTATCCTATCCTCCAACCTTGACGGCGGGGCTTCCCAGTTGGACTCCAAATTCGCTGGCGGAACAAACAATGCCGGGGACAAGGGTGTCTCTGCCAATATTACACTAGCAGGTACTGGTGCTGTGACGTCCACCTCCAACGGAGGCTCTCCGGGCTCTCAGATCGCACCCGGGGCTGGCGGTGTGTGGACCGGCTTGGGGACCTTTGCGAATGGGAACGCTGGAAGCGGTTCAATTGGTGGAAACGGTACCGCTGGCGCGGGTGGTGACTTTAACGATGGTTCTGGTGCGGGTGGCGGAGGCTACCGCGGCGGAGGTAGCGGAGCGACAGGCTACTACAGATATAACTTAACAGTTCAGCGTACACCAGCCGGAGGTGGCGGTGGTTCTAGCTTTCTGAGTAATAAGGTTGTGGCCGCAACTTTAACTCTAATTGATTCCACGCCGGGTAGGATTGTCATGTCTTTCGCTTAATCTCGACTACGTCGGGTTTTATTTATCAGTCATCTAGTATTCTAATAACCAACTCATATATTGTTACATAAAACACCCTGTGATACGGGTACTACCAGAATCTTCTACTAAAAGGAATGGGGAAAAGGGTGGAGTTTTCTCAGGTGTCCGATTTAGGGGAAGAGGCAAAAAGGGTTCCAGTCGGACTTCATAAGGGACACGGGTAGCAGACCGGAAGCAGACCGCCAACGAGAGAGTAAAGAGCAGCACTATTCTAACAATCACTTCGTTCAGTTTAACAACCTTGTCACTACGTTGGGTAGCGCCGAGAAGAGCACCGCGTACGGATGAGAGCAGACATCAGCGAGGAGTAGCAAAGTTAGAAATTATAAGGGACAATCGAGATACGGCTTCATACGAGGGATTTTCACGTTCTTGGGAAAGTCCTCGTCATAATTCAGACTACATTGAGCCAAAGTCGCTGAGGGTATGTATTACTCTAAGTCTTGCCGAGCTACTTATAGTAAGAAGAGCTTTCTAAGTTCGGCTCGGAGCTTGTCAGCATTTGTCTCCTACCACATTTTGACTGACCATACCAGTCAACCATTTGTCCTTTCAACTCCCTTGGACCCTCTCATTAGCCTCGTTATTTCCTTAAGTCACATGTTTAGCTTCGGCAATCAATAACAACTTTGCTTCCGTCGATATACCGTCTTGTCTAGTTGCGACATATTATACTACAATTAGTTAGTCTGGCGCAAAAGGAGATCGCTAGACGAGCGGAAGGTTTGCTAAAAGCAACCTCTTCTACCACGAACGGAAATTAATCTCTAACCAATTTTAGAACAAACAACGTTTGCTGCGGCTAGGCATGACAAGACAAGGAGATTTTGCTACGGGTATCGATGAGTATTTAGCGGCCTAGAAGTCACAAACATTAAAAGGCTCCAGGTCCAGAACAAGGGAAATTACAGCCTCGAGCATAATATTACCCAATAGTGAATTATAACCCTCTTGGAATCCCACGTTCTCCGCAGGTAAAATACCTTCATCAATACTATTCGATAGCCACCTCGGACCATCACTCAGTCATCATGGCGACTCACACGACCTACCCAGCTCGTACTTATCACAACGCATCTTCTCCGTACGTACTACCAAATAAGTAAGTTCTACACTCGCTCTACATCCGCTCTACACCCGCCCTACATCGACCGTTTCACTTCTATACAGACGTTAAAAGTCACAGCGCCCAAGAACAGTCTCGACTTGACAAGCAGGCGTCTGCTATCGAGAAAATAATTGGGGGAAGACCTTTCCTTTTTGACCTACGACTCCTCCCGAGCTCCCCCAAGATTCTCGATATAGGCTGTGGTATAGGTGTCGCGACTCTCCAACTTACGAAACAGGTTCCGCTCTCCGAACAAGTTTACGGCATCGATCTGTCTTCGGTCCCGGAACCAACTAAAGCCGCAGCACCAAAGAATGTCACTTTCATTCAAGGTAATTTCTTGGATGGTGAAGATAAGCGTGGGCTATCCAATAGGAGCTTCGACTACGTTTTTAGGCGCATGCTGTTCCTAGCCATTGACGACTAGCCCGGTTACTTCAAACGAGTGAATGATTTGCTTAAACCTAGAGGAATTGTTAAGCATCAAGACTGTTCATAGGAATACTATCGACAGGGAACATTTACAAAGTTAAGTAATAACTAGGCATGGCATCGCGCAGTGTTAGAGGAGTCAGCCATCGTAAGGTTAGATATTTGCGCTACGGATCACCTAATAGAACGCATAGAGGGTGCGGGTTTTGAAGTACTCAGCACACGTTGCTACAAATTTTCAATAGTTCCATCAGAAAAATCGGCCTCAAGTATGGCTATTAGTCGCTACGTACAGAGCGCCGTACCCAAAACATTCCCTAAGTTAATCCGGCAGATTTTAAGCAAGAGCGGTCGTTATTCTAATAACCAAATTTCTAAGCTAACCGAGGAGTGTCTCAGAACCTCGTCAGAAGAGGAGGGAATCTTTTTGAAGTACATAGTTACAATTAAGAGGAAGTCTATAATCCACTAAGCCGGAAGGCGTGAGGTTCCCTCAGAGCTATGTGGGGCTAATATGTTTACTAGAGTTAAGAAATGAAGATAATTAAGTTAATAAGAGTCCTTAAGTGCTACCAACCGTTATAAATACAAAGCTAATATAAACCCGAGGAGGAAATTTATATTCAGTACGTAAGAACCACAAGAAATCTAGCAATAATTTCTTAAATATTTCATCTACTAAGATGCTTCGTTAACAGAAGAAAGAGGTAGAGGGGGTATGGGGGGGTTGTAACTTGCTACGTGATAGCCATTACTAAAGGTTATTAACTCACCCATTCTCCTTTCTCAGTTTCGTCTTCTTATATCTAACTTACTCCCATCTCAATACCAACTCATTCTTACAATCAAACTTTTAATAATAGGGTCTACTAATAGTAGCTAGATATTTGTCAATAGAAGAAGGATATCTATTAGGTAATATTTATTCCAAATTGCGCGCCCGAATGTTACAAACGAGCTTTTACTACCAAAGCCACAACCGCGTCCTACCAGCCCTTCCTAATCATAATCCAATATTTCCCAGGCCACTTTCGCATATGCCCAACGTGCCCACTCCCCTCCCACAAGCTACTATTAACCCTATAGCCGAGTGCCTTTACCTCGTTCGCGTGCTTCTCTACAGCCTCCCACGCAATAAGTCGGTCCTCTTTAAAATATATATACAGACGTTATACGAGTTTCGTTTCAAACGCCTCGTCGTTTACCATTTTAATAAAGACAAGAAGTAGGTTCTCGCATAAATAAGCCAGCTCTATCGCGCGTACGAAATAGAGAGTCATAATACACATAACTTTAATAACTTATAAAAGTAACGGAACTTTAGCCCCGGCATCAATAGCCATCGCATTCGCTAATTTCCCAATATTATTAATATCGTAGTCCACAGATCCGGGCGCGGAATCCATAACCAGCAAAGAATATAGCATTACATAACCAAAGGCGTTTTTATATACTTCAAGTATGGCCGTAAAGTACAGGCATCCCGTATTTAAAAGCACATAGACTAGAATAGATAGGTCATTCGCCGGCAGATAACCTTCAGAATTAAGCCGCAATACCGCGTAGATAATTGGCTATACGCAGCTAATCCGCTATTTCTAGCTTAAAAGTAATACTTTAAACATTAGTACGAGAACGACTATAATATCAGATCTCAGAAACAGGACCCGAAAGCCATCGGCAAATTTCGCTACGTACTTAAAACGGCCGTCGCCCCAGCCATAAACAAGTATTAAGTCTAGTCCATATTACTCATTAGTTTTTCCGCCAAGACTTCGCTCTAGCGCCGGGAAAAGATAAACCTAATCTAAGAGCTTAGTAAACATTTTAGTCGCTTTAACTAGCGTTTAGGACTCTCGGATATCTATCTTAGTATCGGCCATCGCTACGATCTAATTAATAACTAATAGGGCCTTGAGCTAGGAATCGGTCAACGAGGGGAACAGTAACGTCGGTAATAATCTATAGGGCGTAATAAGGATAATAAATTATTCAAAATAAAATGCCGAGGTCTCAACGCCTCTTCAGTAACTCTCGCACCCACACCTTTACTTTAATAAGCCTTACTAGCGAATCGTTAGCGTTATACTAAATCCCTCGTAAACAACCTTCAGGTAGATATCTAAGTCTATTTAGGACAGTTTTCGGCTTCAGTATTAGCATTTTCACTATCCAAAGGAGTGCGTAGGCCCTTGCCCTAGTAAGGCTTTAGTCTCCCTAAGGTTTAAAAAGCAATAACTTAGTCACTTTATTAAGTTATATCTTAGGAGCGCAACGATATTTACAAAAAGAAAAACGACGGACTAATTAAACCGCTTATCATTCCGCATATACTTCCATCGTATAGTCGCACTACGGGCATCGAAATATCTCATAAGGAACGGTTATAACAGAACCAGGAATGCCCTCGCCTATAAAATTTAACCGCTTATAATCACTACTTTAATAACTACATATACAGGCCAGGATTTATAAAATAATAGGGAGATATAAAAAAGAACTCCGTTCGGACCGAGATAAGAGAAAATCCCCAAATCAAATACAACAATCACCTTTTAATCAATAGACCTCAGTAATATTACATTAAATCAACATCAGTAGCTAGTACCATCGGCGTTCGGATTGTCGAATAAGAATAATTAGCCGTAGATCGAGGCAGGTATAAGCAACAAGGTCGAGCTCTAATAAGCAGCACACAAAGAAGCGCCTATCAACCCAGCTCCCAGTCGGGACACTTAGGGTTAGGGTTAGGGTTAGGGTTAGGGTTAGGGTTAGGGTTAGGGTTAAAAAAAAAAACCGCTTGCTTGCCCTGGCCTATGTGTTTGCTTCAAATCTCGTCTCATTTAGCAATTCTCTCTTGTGTGCGTGGCGCAAAGACTCCAGAAGCAAGAAGCTAACGTAATGGGAAAAGA